GATTGTGAGAGTCCAATGGTATGTTAAATAGTTTTTGATTAATTACTTAGAAGAATAAATAGAGGTCAGAATTTCACATTTAACAAAAGAGGGTTTGTTTGAAGTAGCAGTTGATGTAATTTCACTGTCCTAAACGGATTTTGTATTTGACTAACACCTTTACTATCCACATCTGATTAACACAAAACCAACGGCGATCGTTTTCACGCGATTTGTACTTATTAGTACTCTAATGATTAAGTCTTTCCCTTTAGTATAAAGTAGTCAATTGAGTTTTTTTTAATTTTAAGTACTTTACACTTTAAGAACAACACAACACAAAGTCAAGTAGCTCAGAAATTAAATGAAAGTCGTATTTTCGATCATCACTAATTGTACTCTTTAAGCAGTCTTTGAAGGGAATGTCTCGAAGACTAAAATGAAGATATCAAGGGTATTCCTTAGGTTGTAGAATACCCCACAGAGGCTTTTTCACTTTAATAAGCAAGACGTCTGGGAACAATTGTCTTAAGGAGGGGTGTGCGATAAACTTACCTCCACGTGGTGCACCCTGGACAACGTATACTCATGCGGCAAAAAGTCTATTAATTGGCAGTTGACTTCTCACTTCAAACTGCCATCACCCCATTGTATGTCGAATCCAACCACTTTAACAGTACTCACCTCACCTTTGTTCTACCTTTGTGTCTGTCTCTTACATCTTTGAAACACACTTCTGTTCCCCCCCCCCCCCTTTGGAATTTTTTTCAATTTGATGTTCCTTCCCCTCTGTGAAGCCTGAACTCAACTAAAGGGCTAATGATAAATATCATAAAGCCTGCCAATTGATATAAATAAACAATTGCCTTAAGGATCTTCTTAAGACTGACAGAATTGAAATCAAAAGAGAATGCTCAATGTATTCGAATGAGTGATTCGGCAGCAAAGCTTTAACTAAGAGGACTTCACTTTAACTTTTGTTGGAACCACCAGTACCGAGGAGAATTGCAGGGAAAGTTTGTACAAAGTCATGGCTAAAGAAAGTCATTGAAGACGCATCGGGGACTTTGATGTGACCTAACCACTCGCAATATTAGGTCTCATATTTGAAACCGCACTCCAATCTATCTACCAAGACTAAGAATCTCAATTACAGTTTATCCGTGGTAAACTAAATTTCAAATTCAAGATACTAAAATTTGGAGTCCTTTTGGCAGAGATTCCTTTTCATCTTCGAACCTGATCTATCACTTTTTATTTGAATGGTCATTTTTATTCATAGCGAGCAGTCGTTTTGTCCAAAATTCAGAACCATTCTAGTCTTTTATTTGGCCGAATCATAGCCTAAATTGTATATGCAATAATATCATTTATGAGAATGAAATTTTATAAAAATTTTTATTTGATGCATAAATAGTAATGAGATGATGGTAGTTTGAGTGAATTCTTGAAAACTCTAAATTTTTAACATACAGGCTGTTGAAAAGTAACTCATTATATCAAAATAGATAATCTTAATTTTTCTCATTTGTTTTGTATTGTGGATGTAAATGCTGAGGATCTATTTAAAGTTCGAGTTATGTACACACATTTGTCTTCATAGTTTTTAAACTTATCGTAGCCATATTTCTGTAACGATCTATCACTATTTCTGCACTGAAATTACCGTTTCTTGGTAATGTTATGCCTTCCAGAACACCTAGATATCCGAAGAATTTTGTAGAATTAGTTATTAATTCTGAATGCCTAAATGATTGGAATTTAGACTGTAAAACCTCACACCTCACTGCAGATTTGAAATCTTTCTTTATTCTTTGCATATCTAAAGTGGAAATATATGAATGTTGAATTCACATTTCCTTAAGCCTCCATTATTTCTCGGCGCAAGGATCAAATATCTGCGAGGAGGTGTAAACAATGAATCACCTCGAGTTGAAAAGGTTCACTTTATCTGGTTCCCACGTCTACAAGATGAGATTAAAAATAACACTTTAAGCAGCACTTTCGAGGCAAACTTCATTTACGGCAATTTTTGAATACCTTAGAGATACGCAGGATTGAACGTTGGAGCACTTAGATGCTACGGAGATAACCATTTGCAATAGGTTTGAGTGGAGAACCAAATATTCCCTGAAATTCAAATACGAGAGGAAGCTGTTATTCTACTGGACCCTCCTGATAAAGACAACGCTAATGATCGAGAAATCTTAACTAGTTAGGTTTATTGCAAAGTGAGACTGATACGCACGTGGTGCTAAGTCTTCTCTGCACGTGACGGTTCGTAATTTATTTTAAATCCAGTTTGTACCTGTGTTTTTTGCCATAATGAGCTAGTTAGCATAGCACTTTGTTGCAAAAAGAAAACTGTGATTCAATTCGTTCAATTCCTTGGTACCAATGGCTTTTTGACATCGAATAGGCATTCATTCCTGCCGGTTGGCAAGTTTCAAAGTTAATTATTTCTCTCGATGCTTTAATTAAACCATCACTTACGTATTTACTATCTCCCGAATCTCACTAAACTCAATCTAATTTCTTCGCACTTTTTCAACTCCACTTCGGATTTTAAACTCACATGTAAAAACGTGAAACTTCGTTACACATTAGATTGCCACTAGTTTACGACGGTTTAGTGACTATAGTACATTGATTAAGGAGATGTTGGCATGACGTATCAACCTGAAATTTAGTTGTGGGAACGCTTTCTTTACCAATTTACTCGTGGCGGTGCCTAACTTTCAAATAGAATAATTTGGTGTTAGGCACAGTAGACAAATACACAGATTGTAAGTTCGAAGTAATCATAGAATGATCCTTTAAAATGAAAAAAATGATAACGAAATGTTGTGTGACATATGATTGCACGTTTTTAAATTACACAAAATTTAATTATTATTGACTGTCATTCCAGTTGTGTTAATGGTGTTCACGCATAATACTCTTTTTTAGAACTCAAAAATCTTTTTCTTTCCTTTGTGTGATTGCAAAGTGTATGGATGATTAGGACTCACCTGAATCATGACATCGGACCAGGAATTGTATCACTAGAGATAATTGAACGTTTTAGTTCCTATCAGAAAGCTTCCTCCCAGTGGAGACCTACAGCAGTACAAGCACACGCAGGTCTTGTGGAGGTCAACTTCTTACTGAAAATGCCATGGTGAATAGTCTGATAAAGGCGAGAAAACTTTTGAGCAAAGTGAAATATGCTGCTGAATGGAAAAAGAAAATTTTCTTTCTATTTGAAAAATTGAGCCTACATGAGAGGTATTGCACTCAGAATAAAAGACGACTCTCTAGTCAAGTCAACTAAATTGTCTGACGTGTTATGGTGTTGCGATGTGTATTCAAGCCACTAAGATGATATAAAGTGAACTTTCTCTTTGACTTGAATTAGAGTTTTTGATTGAACTTGGAGGTATACGTGGAACCGTTGAGCACTGTAGTAGATAAGACCTGGCTAATGGCCAATAAATTGGCATATGCATGGTGGGAGGAGGATTTGGTCCTGTGTCACACCCTTTGGAAAGTCGTGTATGTTGTCAGTCAAATTTTATGGCTACTGTAGCAATTCGAAAGCACTATTAACCTCCGAGTTTTCTGTGTTCATAGATCTTAACTCGATTTTTTGCTATGGATGCTCTGGGTACTGTGGTGAAAGGCATTAATTACCGGGTGAGTACTACAGAACCTGATCACTTAATGGATAGGATGAAGAAAAAAATTTTGAGATTCTTCTTAGAGAATTTTAAGAGCGATTTGGCTCAGGTTTATGAACCGACCTCGGGGCTATAACTGACGTGTATGGCGATTATTCTGATTGAAACTCTATTGAAATGCGTGGCCGCCAATCTCCTTTATGCACTTTTGTAACGAAAAGGTCAAATTTATTCCAATTTTGCTAGTATAAACCGAAATTCAAATGATGTTATTTGTCAGCTGAGTAAATTCTTAACCAATAGGTTCAAAATTTATTGGGGAGTTGTTTGATTGTGATGGCGCGATCAACTTCAGATTTATCTTTTTGAATTCATGAATTTACAAATTTATGAAAACCTTTTACTTAAAATCTTTTATATACTCTAATGTATATCACAAAGGTTGGCTAAACTAAGTATAATCTGTTATCCATTTTTTGTATTTAGCAAAGCCCACAACATGCCCTTAATGGGTTTTAATAAATTTAGTTACTACCACTTAGGCTGCCCAATCAGAAATTTGTGCCTATTTATTTTGATAACGATTAATGTTATTCATATTGCACATGTGATTGGCCTAAAAAGACGGGACACATTTATTTAACTTACGAGCTTAAAATTTCAATTAATGTTACAAATGTCTTAATGGAGATTTTTATGTGAAGGTTTGTTACTCTGGATTATTTGAGGCAGTGTGACTATTTTTAGATCGAAAAATACAATGTAATCAACTTTCAAATTTTATAAGTCCTAACAACTTACTTGGATTTCTATGTCTTATAAAATATTATCAGAAGCTCAAATTGCGTTTTTTGACTAATTCTAAATAACTTTCAAAATTGACGCAATCATTTTTTGTCCATCTTACTGAAATGTACCAACAATAAAAAATATTTCTATTAAAAGTTACTTTTTCATCCGTTCTGTACATGAAATGTTGACCATTTTTATATTAGCAATATAGGTAGCATGTTCATTTATCTCTGTTTTTCTATATACTAAATGAGAAAAAAAATTAGAATGGGTGCATTATTATGCTTATGAATAACCAATAATTTAATTCTCTTCAAGGAATAATGTCGGTTTATTTAAACGAGAACGACTAACCAAATGGTTTTTTTTGAATTAATAAAATGATGGCGTGGGTAAATTAAAGCAAAACCGTGTTTTCTTGCATTTGTTATATTTTCTGTTCGCGTTCTCACCATTCGAAGATTGTTTTATGATTAACCATGGTAACTTACATCACCAAACTATATTTATCGCACATTTTTGCATTAGTTTGAATCTGCCTAAAAATAAGCTGAGTTGCACTTCGTTAAAATGAAGGCTACTTCTAAGAGTGTCCTAATTCAGCCACGTCTGTGGACACCTTTCAGGTTAGGACACGCGTGTCCTCTCATTACTAAATTGAAAAGTCGAAATTTCTTTCTTTGAATAAATTCTAATTACTTTCTAATTTTTGTCCTTTTATTTCGAAATTTTTATAATTCACCAATGCGCATATATTCGCTGACTCGAGTGACATGCCCAAAAACACAATATTTTGGACTAGAGTTGGCAGATCATTGATCTCATAATGCTTGAAGTTGACAAATCATTGTCGTATTTTCTATCTCACATGAGCATCTCCTTCATTTTATTATTACTAATTTGTTTGTACTTTTAATTTCGAGCAAAAAAGCTAACCCATTCACGTAGCAAACCGATCAGTTTATGCGTTTATCTTAGAGGTGCAGAAACTGGCTGAATTGGCAATTCCAACAATGTATAATTAGTTAGTTCAATCCAATCGATTTCGATTTTACAGGATTCGGATGCTTTGATCGAACGACTCAGAACCGGGAATGAGCCACCGGGAGATGTACCATTTGTTCAACTTGATGTCCCTGATCCCCCACCATGCTCAACCCAACTTCCTGGCCACGCTAATGGAGAAAACGGTTACTCTGAGAAGAGCAGTCGTCGAAGGCGGTCTAGCAGTATTGCTGAAAATGGTGATAATGGAATGCACTATGCCTCGATTCAAGTTTCCCCTGCTGTTGGTCGGGTTTCTAGTCCATTTACAGGCGCGGATCCCATTATTGAACCAACAGAGTGCCATAAACTCACAGCGACGCCAACCACAACCTGTCCGAGTTTGAGTAAACCCGGAAGGCGATTCAGCGTGAGTTTGGGATCCAAGGAAGGAAGCACTGGGAATGGACACAATTTCCTTTGGAAGGTTTTCACTCGAAGGAGCAAAGTAGGCTACTTGTTTATTTTGTTTATTTAATCAGTAGGAATTGATCACTTGATGCTCCTTAAAACATCCCAATTATATTAACTTAATTTACGCATATATTAATGTGAGAGTTGGCGAAAGTAAATTTAAAGACCTTGGATCTAAGAAATAAAATCTTAACGGAACACCAGCTTGAATTGCCATTAACTTGGAATTTAATTTTTCAAGTACCATAGAAACTTTCACAAAGTCTGTGTTATATTACTTTAAAGTATTATCTTTGTTTGTAAAAATCTAATCAATTTAGTTCTACCTAGCAATACACTCCATGTTCCTCTTAGAGCGTGTTGCCAGTACTCGTCTTTTGTGGGGGGCAAGGTGTTTCCATTTAGCAAGCGTTCATTTCGAACACTTCCAACGCTAACAACCTTTAAATAAATCCCAACGCAATTAGGAATATTTAACAAAAGCGGAAGACATCTTCCATCATCTCGCCCATGAATCTGAATTAGTTAGGAACTGTAAGTCATAAAAATAGTTGTTGTTCCTTATTAATCGCACTATCATTGTACGAACTTTTCAATATTTTTCAATTGGATAAAAAAATAAAGGCCTTGATGTCGAAGTTTTGAGCTTTTAGAACGTTCTCATAACTCTGAATAGTAAAATGGTAGATATGAATAAAATTAAGTCATATTTGATCAGAATAAATTTATGGATTTAACTCGGCCTCTTCCACCTTAAGAAAGCTGCTATTTGACAGTGCGATGGCATCTTGATTGATTTGGCACAAACAATATCCCTGTTACTGACAGTGTCCGCCTTTTGCAATCACGATTTGAAATTTATTTTGGGAATTTTTATAAAAATAATATACAGTTTGGTTCTTAATGTCAATGATTAATAAACAAATAAATTGATTAATGTATGTATTATATCTTTAAATCATTGAAGAAAATTCTGATGGAATCATTTTGGAGGTCTTTCTCTTTAGATAAATTGAATTTTCCACTTCATTTTTAAGGAGGGCAACTTTAGATTTCGATGGCGTTTATAACAATAAGGACCATAAGTTCGCCCAACACGATCAGTTCACATTGCCAAGTTGGCCTTCAGATCGAATGACATTCCTCAAAGCATACTACTTCATTCTACTCATGACGCTTTAATTGAGCAGAACTGTCCCATTCTTCAGGAACGATTTCTATGAAGGGAATTGCAATATGGAGCAGAAATACTTCTTGAAAACTATTTAACTGTCCTAAAGTAAGTTACGAGACTAAGTTTTGAGTCAGTTCAAGAAGAGACAATAGAACAGTTTCGGTTTAAATTCATTTCAATCGTCTATATTCAAAGCCTTCATGACAATGTATTATTAACAAAAGATGTGCACTTTTTCAATTTTTAACTGGACCATGGAATTCCTACTTCTTGATTTACGGGATAGTTCTTCAACAGCTTGAAGCATTTTCTTTCCGACATGGTCTAGATACGCGGTTACTGATGTTCACTCAATGACGAGTGGTTATTCTCAAGCCCTAGATATTTTGGATGAGGATTTGAAGCAAACATCACTTTTGATAAGTCAAAATTATCTTAATGAAATTCACTACCTTGATTTATTGCGATTCGTCTAAAACATAACTGTTGAAATACTTAGAATTTCAAATTTTAGACTTTGCTATTACTTATTCCCAATTTTGTGAAAAAACCTTCAGTATTAGCACTTGAAGGATAGCGTAGTTGTTGCTAAGTTGCCTCTATTCAAAACTTTTGGACATAAAAAAGTTGACGTCATGCCCATTTGTTCTCCGTGTTGCATTGTGTCAACACTTAAATGTGCAATCGCCCTGGGCTATCGTATTATACTTGCTCTGGTTTGAAAGTAAAAAGCGCGTTTCTTGCTATTTTCTATGCAATATGACACCTCGCACATTCTGGAAAAACGTGAATTTGCCACTTTTGCTAGGGGATTGTAAGGTAACACCATAGTTACTTCAAACAAATAAATAATTATTTTGTTTTTTTTGGAGGATGAGCGAAGTACTAGTGGAAGTGGTCAAACTTTCTTTCATCTTCCAGTTTGGAATATAAAACTTGTGGGTTTCGTGATGTGCACGTTTTCAATCATCACCAGATTACCAAAATAGCTCACTTTTTTGTGGGAATTGTTTTCGACCAGAATGCATCTGTATCTCACCTACAAATCTTAAAAAAACTTTCAATATACCAGTAAAAATGGGAAAAAATAAAGTCTATGGGTTTAATGCCTCAACCGTCTACATGTAATTGGCAAGAATGATGAAATTGAGTCAACGAAATTAACCTAAAGCTCATAAAAGTGCATGCAAAAGTCTATTATCCAATGATGAGTTCAAAATTTTATCTATTTGTTTTCATGAAATATGAGATAGCTTAGACTCCAAAATTCATCTTGAAATCTTCCAAATACAGCTTATCCATTGATTTAGTTTGGTATTATAAGATAATTCTATTTACTCAGCTATATTTTAAATTAATTAATTGTCTATAATATAAATGAGTATGGTAAGTGTTCGATTGGATCATTAATGGTCTACATACGAACAACGAGCCATTTCAAATTCGAGAGAGATGGAAAAAGCAGAAGATATTGGTTTTCTTATTGATTTATTGGATTTCCAATGGACCGAATTGTGCAATTTGTAAAAGAGGTTAAAATCGGGAGGCGATTGGTTTCTTAAATATCTTTTTCGACGATGGAAGATTTAAATATTTCATAGGCAAGGTTGATCAAAATACTACAACAACTTCCCAAGGATTTATTTGCAAATACATCAACACATTCTTAGAGACAAATTTTACACCTTTTCAGAGAGCTATTTATTCCCAGCTACTCGAATTTAATTAATATATGCTCTCTCTATTAATAAATTAATTTATAAATTGAAATTTTATAACGTGACGGCGTTATTAACAATTTTATTGTGTAATACAAGTTGTGTACATATTTTTGATGCAGTAACTCTCAAGTCCACATTACGTGTTTTCAATTTAGCGAATGTTTTTTGAAGACGACAGTGCAGTTCCTTTCGGGACAACGAAACCTTGGCGCAGCAAATGTCGATCAAAGAGTGTCGGTAGTTTTATTCCCCCCGAAACGGAACCGCCTCTTTTAAAAACCCCGGAAAAGAATTCCTCATGGAAATATAAAACTCACAGGGTGATTAGTCCAATTAGTGTTGATGTTTCGTTCAATCGTTTCATTACCAAATGATTATTTTGTGATTTCTTTGCTTGTGGAACGCAGATGTATTATTTAATTATTGATATGTGAATAGAAATGGCATGCCCATGTTTATTTCTTGGTGAAACACATTTATTTTTCATTTTTAGAGCCGAGAAGGCGAGAGACGAAGTGAATCGCTCACTCATGGGCGTCCATTGATAACCCAATCTCCGCATGAATCACCAAAGAAAATGTAATTGTACTTTAAATATTTAAGTAGTTAAGTATTTGTAACCTGTTTTATATTTACCCTTACGACATTTTAAGGCACTTCTTTTCAAATAAATCGTCCATTTAATTAAAGAACTTGGCAACATCATCTACCGTTAACTAAATTCGATAACATTACCGGACAAATTGATTATAAAGGTGATGATGAGACATTGGTAGTTGCAACATGTAGAACACCAGTGATAATAACTAGCTCGTTAACTGACTTTTCGTAATATATTTACACCAAGAAAAGTGTACATTGGAAATCAAAGGTAGGTACCTAAAACTAGCGTTTTAAATAAATGAGCAAATATTGATTGACTTTTTAATATTCAGGACCAGATTTGCTTATGCCAACTTAACAGTTTTACAAAACTCTATAAGGTATCTGCTTTTTTTGTAAATTCATTATGGCTTATAGAACGGTAATGAAAATGGTTTTATACGATTGAAAACCCTTCATTGTTACTTGTTAAGATTCAAAAGTGCTTACCTAACTATTGTGAATATTGCGTTTCGTGAAAATGGGGAAAGTTAGTTCATTAGAACTACCTTCATTTTCTTGCTCTACTTTCCACATTAATATATAACACTCTGAAGTGGATAATATATATGAGGAAAAGAGGTAACGATTACTTCATTAAAATCAATGGAATTGTTCTTCAAATTTACTGCCAATCAGGAATTAAAGATTCTTAATTTCAAGTGACTGTTTGTTGACTATTTTTTTAATATTGGTTTTTATAACATTGGTATTATATATATAATATAATTTGTTATATTGACGTAATACCAACTAGGTTGGCAACTACATTTCATTGGACTTCAGGGAATTTTAAATTCAAATGGTTAACGGGTCTGTTTGTTTTTTACAAAAAGGCTATTTTCTGCAGTTAATTTCAAATGTACTAAAAGGATATTTAAGAAAATTTATTCAGAAAAGTGCGCTGAAGAGTATAATTTCTCTTGAGACGAATTTACTTCTTTTTTAATTCCCGATTTGACGGATTTTTTTATTTGTTTACCGAAAGTCAATTTAACCATTCAAATCTTTTCATGTCCAAATCAAAATTTTGTCATTATTTTTACAATATCAAAAAATATTACAGTTCGTCTAATTTATCAATTATTGTTATTTTACAAAATTAACATAAAATGGAAGACTTTAGCAACATTTTCTATGCTTAGTAATTCCATAAACACCTAGGTTAACTTTTGTCAGAAAGATAATTGGTTCATAATATTTTCATTTCTATACAGTATATTTATTCAAATGGAAAATTAGTTATTGAGTTAATTGACTTCTATCGGTTAATTTGAAGCACTTAAATTATAATAGAAATGCGATTCTTCATCTACTGTTTTCTTATTGACTAACAATTCAGTTGCAGTTGTCTACTTATATAGATACATTGTAAAGAGCTGACTAACATGTTGCCTTGCCTTCAGATTCAAGTAGATTAAATAATGAATTTTTGCCATGTTTTTTCGCATTTTAACATCTGTTTCAATCTTTAAATTACGATTTTTTGCAAAGGCTTCATTTCGTATCATCGAGCTGTTTTGGACTTTAAAGTACTCATCTGGTAGCGCGAAATCTATCAAGACTGATTTAATGTTGAATTTCAACAACCACGATTCACAATTATGAAAGATAATTTTTTATTCATATAAAATGATGAAAAGGTGTAAGTTCGTTCATTTCTCCCAATAAGGTGGTCTATAAATAGAGTCTGTAAATGGGTCTTTGCTGTCAAAAAATTTCTCGAAGAACCATTAATTTAAAGGGATTTGTTTCTGTCTCTGTAAATTAAAATTAAAGTAATTGAAAACCATTTCAATGATAAAGAAGCTGAAAATAGAACTATTAATACTAGAGTAACAAGGAATCTATTTTATTTTAGAACAAATAGAAAGAAATAAATCAATATAAACTTTAATAAAACCCATTATTTTGCTTAACGAAAGACAGAAATTCTGAAAAAAAGAAATTTTTGCCGCAGTAATAAATGGATTTATAATTAGATAAGTTCAACCCAAAAAATCCATTTTTTGTCCATATGAAAATCGAATTAAATTCAAAAGTAGAAATATAGTAGAATTGAGGTTTGCATTGTTTTATTCATAGCTTGTGCTGCTTTCTTAAGTACATTTTTATTGAAGCATTGAATTGCTAGAATCTGCATTATTTCTTGAAAAAGGTGAAAGCTTATTCAAAATATTAGGAACTAAATTGTTTCATTATGTTTCCAAACTATTCACTACTACAAGTTTTCCAAACTTTTTTTTTTAAATTCAAATAAATTACCAATTTTTCCATTACCCTCTAATGTCGTTTTCTACGTGACACGAAGTTTTTCCCATCAGCGAGAACTAATGCTAAAGTAACGATTTTCATACGCTCTAAAAAATCTAAAATGTCTCACTTCATTTCATCAATAAGCCGCCCCCAATTCTGTCGCCTCGATCACAAGATAAATTAAATAAGCTACTCTTGTCTCCCTCAGGACTCATTAATCGTCACTGAAATGTCTCCTTTTGAACTAAACTCATGTTTATTTGTCATTACAAACGATTGGCTTAGGTGGAGGCAAAGTTATGGCGATCGGAGAAAATTGATTTTCCGTTGCAATTAAAACAATGTTAAAAGAGTTTTCATACATCTTCATCAGAATTTCACTTGGCCTAAGACAACCGTTTTTTGAAGATGGAAAATAATGGCGCGAATGTATGTTTTATTTTGGCGTTGGTATTGAATGAAAATATTTCACAGCGTGCAGTAATTCACAAAGAAAGCCAATCGCTAGCATTTTCGCTTCTAAATGGAGCACTTTGCATTTACGTTTAAAAGATATAAACGATTTCTCGAGCAAAACATTTATATTGTTGAATATTAGAGGGTATTTGGCTGCAATAAGGAATAATTTCAGTATTAATCTACGAAACGCCACAGGAACACCTTCGTGGACATTGAATACTTGCCACTAACTGTTTTTGTCGTATAAAGCGAAAAGTGAATTGATGGTTTCAACATTGGAAAAGAATTTAGCTCAGGGGGGACTATGATGTGATTTTTTAACAAGTGATTATCAAGTGAGGTATTAATCCGGTGCTAGAGTAGAGCTTTAGCATTTGAGAATAATCATTCCTTTCTGAATACTGTGGAAATGGATGATTCAAAGTGAAGGAATCCAACTCTGGGTCTTGGAGGAATGAATGTTTCCCATCAAACGTGTTTAGTAAATTCCCACTTATAACTCCATAAAACTTTATTAATTTTACTATCCATTTGTGTCATTAAATGCTTTTTATTTGGCCTATGCATTCTTCACCTAGTAGTTTGAGAAAATTAACTACCAAAATGCATTTGGATAAATTTAAAAAAACATAGTTTAAAAATGGTAGCGTAAATTGCAGTAGATTGACGTAAAATGCAGTAACTCAGCGGTAATACACTTTTATAAAAAATGAGCCTTCAGACAAAAGGGATCGATTTTTTATTGACGCGAGTTCATGATTGTGAAATTGCTGTCAAGGTTAATTTAGTGTGATATTTGCTCTGACTTTTTTCCTCTCTATTTTGGTAGCCATTTTGTATGATTTCGTTTTTTTACCTATCGAATAGTTAAAGCTTCGATTTTCACCAGTGAAACGATTTAACTCTCTTAATTATGATGAAGTATTTGAGTAGGAGAAAAGATGGATTAGTTTGAGTAATGAATAAAGAAGAGAGGAGACTAAGAAATTTTCAAAAGATTAGTACCATTGAGACATCTTGGGAGCAAGGCAGACAGTGGTCGAATCTTGTGAAGAGAGATGGACTCAAATCAAAGGGAGTGAAAGTTGGTGGAATCACGTGGAGCTGCAGATGGTTTAGAATTAACCAGGTGGACTTATGGCGCGAAACGAGTTAGCCCAATAGGGACAGGTGAAATCGAGGATTGAAAACGGTGTTAGCTCCAAATCCTTTGAATCTCGGCCCATATTTTAGGGAATATTTCTTTTCTCCAGATCAAACCTAAATGATGTCAAATTGTTTATGGTGTCTCTAATTTAAAGTACAGATAGATGTAATCAATTACTGGCCTGCATTAGAAGTTATGTATTATGATCTTAGCTTTCCAATACATGCATATTTAATTAGCGATAATCCAGTGTTTTGAATTGTGAAACAAATGCGCGCATCTATTCTTTTTAAGACTAACATTTAACACTTTAACATAATTTAAAAAAATTATTAATGGGAGTTTTAAAATAATATTTTAATGTATTTTGGTTATAGAGAAATGGCTAATGGGGATAAAGAAATTACAGAGGCACCGATTTCGAGTAATCTCCAGGATGTCGACACAAGATCAAATCTATCTGTTCCTACGCTAGTCCCTCTTAATACTCCGCTAATCAATTCCTCCGGGTCAACGCAAGAGAAAGCTCAAGTTACCGAGCTCACTAGATCACTTTCATCTCCCTCCTCAAGCAGCAATGACTTTTATGGAACTAAAACAAAGCCGACTAACAATCCAACTGTTTCTCAACCAAAATCAACGTCTCCTGAGCGCTACTCAATAGGAACGACAAAAAGTTCTTCTCAGAACGGTTCCCATTATCAGAGAGGAGCAATAGTTGGAACAACTCCTGGTTCTAATATAACTCAACCGAAATCTCCAAGAACTACCAGTCCAAGAAGAAATGCTTACCATCAACCTAAAAGGCAACATGAAAATAATCATCATCAGCCTAATAAACGAAATGTAGATAACAAAATGGCTCATCGATCATCTATGAGCGATCTAATAGCTGTTGGGACATGCAGAGCCCTGTATGACTTTGAAAGTAAGGCCTGATTGTTAATCGCTACAGATGTAAGTGCAGAGTTGTCTTTAATTGGTAGCATATGTTTTAGGTGCCCAATATGGAGAAACCTTTGTCTCTTTCAAATCTGGAGACGAATTGCGTCTGATTTCGTCCAATACAAAGTGGCATGGAAGTCCAGATACAGATGGATGGATATATGCTGAAACGATACCCCCCGTTAATGATCCGAATGCCCTTGCCCGACGCGGATTCATTCCAGCATCTTTTGTGGAAATTACTCTCTACCCCGAACCCCAACCTCTCACTCTACCACGCAAACGCGATTTTGATGACGGCTCAAATTTTAGGGGTAGTCATAGCAATCTTCGAAGTGATAAATCTTTTCTTGCTCTTGGACAAGCTACTGAACTCTAATTCGAATGTATATTTCACTATTTATTTTGATTTCCCTTATCTGTAAATAATTGTCTATTTACTTTATGTTTTAATTAAATTGTTCTTTTTTTTTGCTTAAGAGAAGTATCTAATTGATATGTGCTATTCTTATTTCAGTCAAGTTATTAGAATTTAAATCAGCCATTATTGTACTAAACGAAACACATCGCGTATTCACCTGTAAATAAAGAAATAAATTTTTGGGGCCATTGTGATATGTTTGATAAATTAACATGACTATCGGACAAAACAGAGGTCAACTATAAACGGAGGGTATGTTAATTTAGGATAAGAATCTATGCTCTAGGTCAGCAAACTTCTAAGGTATTCACTTCCCCGTAAGTTTGAAATTTAGTAAAGAGAAAAGAAATTGAATTTTTGCTGCGTCTTTCAGCCGAAACTGCGTACATGTCGATTAGTTTAATCTGTGTGTAGAATCCAAAATTTTTACAACAGATAGGAAAGAAGTTTAGTTAGAATTGAAGATGGCATTCGGAAGTAATATAATTCACAGTATTCCTTTTGAAAGTTTCTCCGCAAATCCTACTTTTCAATGTAGAGATAGAGTAAAAGAAGATTCTATTTTCTTTTATACGACAAGAAATTGTTTTTTTTTGCCAATTAATCATGCAATATGGTACATGGTCATTACTCATGGTGTATCTGTCTACTCTGTTGATGCATTTGTTGGTAAGGATCTTGCTCTAAATTTCTAACTTATGCATTATTTTATGGAAGATTTGAACTGATGGATGTAAGAAGGGGGTAATTAAGCGAATCATTCCTTTCCAAGTAACCATAAGGAGTGTCTTATACGCTTAAAAATGGGGATATTTCTACGATCACTGCTAAAATGACAGAATTTCTCAAAGTGAAAGAAATGGGTGACACACTGGTTGATTGCAAATTTTGTGAAAACACTCGTAACTTTAATTCTTATTTCCTAATTTGTATTAATGCGCCTGTTTGCAGATGTGAAAAGATTATTTATTTATTTTAAATGGCGGGCCTTATGATAGTTATCATTAGTCCTTTGGCTGAATTCGGATTTCACAGAGGAGGGGAACATCAAAGGGAGAAAAATTCGGGGGGGGGGGGGGGGTGGACGGAAGACTGAATCGAAGATGTAAAAGAGGCACAGATAGACGCGAAGGCAGAGAAAAGGTAGGATGCGTACGGCGGAAGTGATCGAATAAGACATACAGTGGGGTCATGGTAGTTTGAAGTCAGAAGTCAACTGCCGGTTAATAGACCTTTTGGCCGTATGGGAATACGTTGCCGAGGGTGCACCATGTGGAGGTAAGTCTCTCGCACACCCCTGTGAAAAGATTATTACTATTTAGCAATATTCTCAAAGACCATTTGTTAAAAAATTTAAAAATCATTGGCAAATCTTACCATAAAAAATTAAATTTTAATGAAAATGAAAATGAACGTGCATTTTTTAATCATAATTCTAATGGAAATTTTGAAAATGATCGTAATTTTGACAATTCAATAGGCGCGTGCCAAAATTAAAAAAATATCCAAAATCTAATAAATTTAAATTCAGCAGGCAGGATTTTTTTAAATTTATTCAATTTTTTCATCTATACGACTTTACCCTTGAGAGTTCCCGCTTGAATAATCTTTAATCCCCATACTATCTCCCTCTTTGCTGAGAATTTTGAGCGATATTATTCAAGACCTTGAACTAAACTTCGAAGTTTTACGCTTGATTTCGTTATTATCATAATATTCCCAAGATTTTCCTAATAATGTATGCCGCGCTTCACATTATCTTCAAATTTCGAAAACACTGCAACATAACAATGCGAGCACGGGTGTACGTGGTGCACCCTAGGCAACGTATACTCATACAGCAAAAGTCTATTAACCGACAGTTGGCTTTTGGCTTCAAACTACCATGATCCCACAGCATGTCATAACTCGACCCCTTTCACAGATCTCATCTTACCTTTTGCCTGCCTTTGTGTCTGTGTGTCTGTCTCTTTGCATCTGTGAATCACTATCCTTTCCCACTCTCTCGACTTTTGATTTTTCTCCTCTTCTGTGTGAAGTCTGAAGTCAGCTAAAAGGTTAATGATAACTATCGAAACGCCTGCTACTTGAAATATATATATATATATATATATATATATATAATGCAAGCATGGCTCTGGTTGAACATTCCAACCTTCAATAAAATTATGGACATAGCCAATCCACTGTTGATTATTCAAGGCTTTTGTCTTTCTTCCCTTCATCCCTTTATTTAACCATATATTGATATGAAAAAATTAAATAACTTTCTTAAAAAGGAGAAAAACTACTAGACCTTTAACGTTTCGGAAGGTTATTTTCATTACCTGCAAGGCAATTTCAATGTCTTTTTTCTAACCCTTCAAAGCGTATATATTTTGACTGTTAACTAAGCACTAGAGTATTGACCATCTATTAACATTATTGAATGAAAAAGGAAACCTGGGGTTTCGCAGTTGGGAAAACTCCGATTCAGATTCTAATTTACCCAAGTTTAATTGCCAATGGAATATCAAGCGAATCATCTCATTATTCCACAGTAAATGTGAAAGCTATTACAATTTAAGACTGGGCTTTAATCTATTTAGTGAGTTAAATTAAGATTAATTTAAATAAATAGTGTTACTAGACGAAATCCTAGCCAAAATATAACTTTTTGAAAAATTTAAAGACAATGTGCCTTGTAACCACCATTGCTCTTCATTGTCTCGTTTTAAAAGAGCATCTTTCTTCAATCGTTGATGGCCGAATGTGGTTGGTTTTGTCCTTTTAAGAACTGAATATTTTGCATCTTATATTTTAATATGATTTTAATAACCTAGCTTTCAATTTTACTTGATTAAATTTTCCAATTAAATTATTTGTAGAATAAGGCATCAATTCTTTACTCGGGGGTATAATCCAACTGAACGTATTCCCATATTTCATTCGATCTATTTAGTGAAAAATATTTAATTATTAATATATGCACATTTATAGATATGGTACTTTTGAAAGATAATTCATATTTCAAATGGCAGCCTTTGTGATATTTACCATTAGCGCTTAGTTGACTTCGGCTTTCACAAGGGAGGGAGGGGGGGGGGGGGGGGGGGTAGTTTTGAGAGATATGCTTGTCTGAAGTGATTTTACTGAACTAGTCCAACGGGTTTGACAATTTTAACACGAATTCATAAAAGCAGTGGAGCACTTATTCTGAAATTGAGAAAATTTATTATTTTTATAAACAAGACTGAAGTATACATCAGAACTAAAATTTTACAACCTATTCGATCACCTCACATTAAATCGTCAAAAATTAACTTATTTTGTCATGATAAATCATTGTTAATTCTTTGTATCTTTCCATTGGTTATAATAAATGAATAATAAAAACGTAAAATATTAACTTTAGTAAAAAAGGCCTTTTCTCAAGACTAGTGTTAACGTGCTTTCAACAATGCAGGATTGGCTGTTGCCTGATATGTTGAGCATTCCAGAGAATGTGCCGGGTCACCACATGATAATCCGCATGCCTTCTGGGACTAAAATGCTGCAGAATGCATCGGAAAAGGAATAACTTGGACAGGCCTCTTAAGCATACTTTATTTTAGCAGTTAATCAAAAGTTCACAGTCATATAAACTCGTTAGGCGTGTAACCAGTACTGCATTCTAAAGTTCCAATTATCTTCTTTAATCCCTTTTATGCAATCAACTAATGCACCATTCTTATGAGTTAGAAAGGTCAAAGTCTCCTGCTAGACATACAGGCCCATAAATTTTAACGTCGACATCTCGATTAGTAGTATTTTTAATTGCCATCGTGTCCAATTTACTTCGCTCTATTCAAAGCGGAAGTGGATAGACAGGCTATTGCAAACTAAAGCAAAATTTTCAAGTTCTGCATAATGAAATTGAGATAAAATGTAAAATATGCAGAGCATTTTTTCCGGAAATCAGACTGTGGATAAATAATTCATTTTATTTTATTAATGCGATAGTTAAATTTATTATTAGATAGTGATGTGTTCATCTGCACATGTTTTAATAGATTAAATCCTTCTTCATTCATATACGTATTTATTTATTTTAAATGGCGGACGTTTTGATAGTTATCATTAGCCCTTTAGT